CCCCCCACACACACCCCGATTACAGCTGTAGAGTTTCCCTCTGATTGTTATGGGCCTCAGCTGATTCTGGTTCTGACCCGGCTGAGTGGTGTCGGGTTACGGACCCCTTCCTTTGGTTTTCCTTTATGTTTCAATCAGGACTCCCCTGATCCCCCCTCCCCCAGAGGCCTCCTGAGGAGCAGGTGACTGATGAGGAGGCGGTCCCAGAGATAGCCCCTCCCCCTCCTCACCCTGCCCCTCCCTCCCTCCCTCCCTCCCTCCTCATTCATTGGTGAGGCAGAGGGGCTTTGTTTTGGGCTGCAGCCTCAGAATGAACCAGAGACGGACCGAGACACACAGGGACAAACAGGGACACACGGGGACACACAGGGACAAACAGGGACAGGCAACAGACCATGAAGGAGATTTTACTTTGGAAGAGACAGAAACAGGAATGAGAGAGGTTTTAAGGACAAACAGGAAGCAGAGACTTTTATTTTGACAGCCTCCTGCTTCTCTTGTTCTGCAAACAACTTCTGCTTTCCTCGGTGAGTCGTTGAGTTTTTATTCTTTTACTCAAATGAAAGACCAACTTTCTGTCTTTCTTCCTGTTTTACTTTTAGTTTAGCAGCAGCTTTGAAAGTTTTTAAAGTTTCTGTTCAGTTTTCAAAATAAAAAGCTTCAGACTCCAGAAGAGGTTTTCAGGTTCTTCACAAAACAAACAAAAACAAAAACCCATTTTTTTAAAGTTAGAAGCTGTTTTATTTGTGGTTTTGTTGTTCTTGAACAGGAACTAAAAATAAAAAAGCATATTTGTTGTTCAGTAAAAGTTTTCTCCTGAAAATCAGATTTTTTGTTTCTCGTTTTTTAAAAACCTTTTATTTTCACTTTCGTCTGTTTAACTTCCTGCCTGAGACTGAAAATCTGAAACAGACTTAGTCAGAGCTCGCTGGGTTCTTCTCAGCCTCTGTTAGTCAAATATCTCCTGCAGCAGTGGACAGCTCTGAGTGAAACTGTTAGAGTGGAGCAGATTCAAGATGGCCGCCACACCTGTCACCTGTGGTAGTAGCTGAGTCGTCAACATGACGCATCTAGTCGCCTCCTTCTTTAGAAACAAAACTTCCCTTCCAGATTCGCTGATTCCATCGAGTTTGAGGACGAGTTAGTAAACTTAGTAAATAAGTGTTTATTTATTTATTTATTTATTTATTTATTTGTTCTAAATAGGGCTGCCACGATTAGTCGACTACTCACGATTATGTCAACTATTAAAATCGTCAACGACTAATTTAATAGTCGATGTACCGTTTTTTCTAACTTTGTATTTTTCAAATAAATAAATAAAATAAATAAATAAATAAATAGACTTGTTTTTGGCAGCCCTAATTACCACGACTGTGGATGTGAGTCAAGGACAGAAAGGCAGATGTGGCAGTGAAAGGTGTCGCAGCAGTTTGGAGAAAAAACAGAGTTAGATAAAAAAAACGACGCATCGACTATTAAATTAATAGTTGCCGATTTTGATAGTGGACATAATCCTGACTAGTCGACTAATCCTGACTAGTCGACTAATCCAGACTAGTCGACTAATCCAGACTAGTCGACTAATCCTGACTATTCAACTAATCCAGACTAGTCGACTAATCCTGACTATTCAACTAATCCAGACTAGTCGACTAATCCAGACTAGTCGACTAATCCTGACTATTCAACTAATCCTGACTAGTTGACTAATCCTGACTAGTCGACTAATCCTGACTAGTTGAATAATCCTGACTAGTCGACTAATCCTGACTAGTCGACTAATCCAGACTATTCAACTAATCCTGACTAGTCGACTAATCCTGACTATTCAACTAATCCTGATTAGTCGACTAATCCTGACCAGTCGACTAATCGTGACTAGTCGACTAATCATGACTAGTCGACTAATCC